TTTTAAAAATTATTTTCTCCCAATACCAACAGGCGTGGATTTTTTAAAAATTATTTTCTCCCAATACCAACAGGCGTGGATTTTTTAAAAATTATTTTCTCCCAATACCAACAGGCGTGGATTTTTTAAAAATTATTTCTCCCAATACCAACAGGCGTGGATTTTTTAAAAATTATTTTCTCCCAATACCAACAGGCGTGGATTTTTTAAAAATTATTTTCTCCCAATACCAACAGGCGTGGATTTTTTTAAAAATTATTTTCTCCCAATACCAACAGGCGTGGATTTTTTTAAAAATTATTTCTCCCAATACCAACAGGCGTGGATTTTTTAAAAATTATTTCTCCCAATACCAACAGGCGTGGATTTTTTAAAAATTATTTTCTCCCAATACCAACAGGCGTGGATTTTTTAAAAATTATTTTCTCCCAATACCAACAGGCGTGGATTTTTTAAAAATTATTTTCTCCCAATACCAACAGGCGTGGATTTTTAAAAATTATTTTCTCCCAATACCAATTTTTTTCCCAATACCAACAGGCGTGGATTTTTTAAAAATTATTTTCTCCCAATACCAATTTTTTCCCAATACCAACAGGCGTGGATTTTTTAAAAATTATTTTCTCCCAATACCAATTTTTTCCCAATACCAACAGGCGGTGGATTTTTTAAAAATTATTTTCTCCCAATACCAATTTTTTCCCAATACCAACAGGCGTGGATTTTTTAAAAATTATTTTCTCCCAATACCAATTTTTTCCCAATACCAACAGGCGTGGATTTTTTAAAAATTATTTTCTCCCAATACCAATTTTTCCCAATACCAACAGGCGTGGCTTTTTTAAAAATTATTTTCTCCCAATACCAATTTTTTCCCAATACCAACAGGCGTGGATTTTTTAAAAATTATTTTCTCCCAATACCAATTTTTTCCCAATACCAACAGGCGTGGATTTTTTAAAAATTATTTTCTCCCAATACCAATTTTTTCCCAATACCAACAGGCGTGGATTTTTTAAAAATTATTTTCTCCCAATACCAATTTTTCCCAATACCAACAGGCGTGGATTTTTTAAAAATTATTTTTTCCCAATACCAACAGGCGTGGATTTTTGAAAAATTATTTTTTCCCAATACCAACAGGCGTGGATTTTTTAAAAAAATATTTTTTCCCAATACCAACAGGCGTGGATTTTTTAAAAATTATTTTTTCCCAATACCAACAGGCGTGGATTTTTTAAAAATTATTTTTTCCAATACCAACAGGCGTGGATTTTTTAAAAATTATTTTTTCACAATACCAACAGGCGTGGATTTTTTAAAAATTATTTTTTCCCAATACCAATAGACGTGGATTTTTTAAAAATTATTTTTTCCCAATACCAAGAGACGTGGATTTTTTAAAAATTATTTTTCCCCAATACCAATAGACGTGGATTTTTTAAAAATTATTTTTTCCCAATACAAACAGGCGTGGATTTTTTAAAAATTATTTTTCTCCAATACCAATAGACGTGGATTTTTTAAAAATTATTTTTCCCCAATACCAACATCCGTGGATTTTTTAAAAATTATTTTTTCCCAATACCAACAGGCGTGGATTTTTTAAAAATTATTTTTTCCAAATATTATTAGACGTGGATTTTTTAAAAATTATTTTTTCCCAATACCAACAGGCGTGGATTTTTTAAAAATTATTTTTTCAAAGTAGCAACAGACGTGGATTTTTTAAAAATTATTTTTTCAAAGTAGCAACAGACGTGGATTTTTTAAAAATTATTTTTTCAAAGTAGCAACAGACGTGGATTTTTTAAAAATTATTTTTTTCAAAGTAGCAACAGACGTGGATTTTTTAAAAATTATTTTTTCCCAATTATCCACAGACGTGGATTTTTTAAAAATTATTTTTTCCCAATACCAACAGGCGTGGATTTTTTAAAAATTATTTTTTCCCAATACCAACAGGCGTGGATTTTTTAAAAATTATTTTTTCCCAATACCAACAGGCGTGGATTTTTTAAAAATTATTTTTTCCCAATACCAATATACATGGATTTTTTAAAAATTATTTTTTCCCAATACCAATAGAGGTGGATTTTTTAAAAATTATTTTTTCCCAAAAATTATTTTTTCCCAATACCAACAGGTGTGGATTTACTAAAAATTATTTTTTCCCAAAAATTATTTTTTCCCAATACCAACAGGTGTGGATTTACTAAAAATTATTTTTTCCCAATACCAAAAGGCGTGGATTTTTTAAAAATTATTTTTTCCCAATACCAACAGGCGTGGATTTTTTAAAAATATTTTTTCCCAATACCAACAGGCGTGGATTTTTTAAAAATTATTTTTTCCCAATACCAACAGGCGTGGATTTTTTAAAAATTATTTTTTCCCAATACCAACAGGCGTGGATTTTTTAAAAATTATTTTTTCCCAATACCAACAGGCATGGATTTTTTAAAAATTTGTTTTTCCCAATACCAATATACATGGATTTTTTAAAAATTATTTTTTACCAATACCAATAGACGTGTATTTTTTAAAAATTATTTTTTACCAATACCAATAGACGTGGATTTTTTAAAATTATTTTTTTCCCAATACCAATAGACGTGAATTTTTTAAAAATTATTTTTTCCCAATACCAATAGACGTGGATTTTTAAAAAATTATTTTTTCCCAATACCAATAGACGTGGATTTTTTAAAAATTATTTTTTCCCAATACCAACAGGCGTGGATTTTTTAAAAATTATTTTTTCCCAATACCAACAGGCGTGGATTTTTTAAAAATTATTTTTCCCAATACCAATAGGCGTGGATTTTTTAAAAATTATTTTTCCCAATACCAATAGACGTGGATTTTTTAAAAATTATTTTTTCCCAATACCAACAGACGTGGATTTTTTAAAAATTATTTTTTCCCAAAAATTATTTTTTCCCAATACCAACAGGCGTGGATTTTTTAAAAATTATTTTTTCCCAATACCAATATTTATTTTTCCCAATAGACGTGATTTTTTTTTAAAAAATTATTTTTTCTACGTTTCAATAGATGTGGATTTTTTTAAATTTATTTTTTACCAATAAAAATAGACGTGAATTTTTTTAAAAACTATTTTTCCACGTTTCAATAGACGTGGATTTTTTAAAAATTATTTTTCCAAGATTTCAACAGGCGTGGATTTTTTAAAAATTATTTTTTCCACATTTCAATAGACGTGGATTTTTTAAAAATTATTTTTTCCACATTTCAATAGACGTGGATTTTTTAAAAATTATTTTTTCCACATTTCAATAGACGCGGATTTTTTAAAAATTATTTTTTCCACATTTCAATAGACGTGGATTTTTTAAAAATTATTTTTTCCACATTTCAATAGACGTGGATTTTTTAAAAATTATTTTTTCCACATTTCAATAGACGTGGATTTTCTAAAAATTATTTTTTCCAATTATACACAGACGTGGATTTTTTAAAAAATATTTTTTCCAATTATCCACAGACGTGGATTTTTTAAAAATTATTTTTTCCAATTATCCACGGACGTGGATTTTTTAAAAATTATTTTTTCCAATTATCCACAGACGTGGATTTTTTAAAAATTATTTTTTCCAATTATCCACAGACGTGGATTTTTAAAAATTATTTTTTCCAATTATCCACAGACGTGGATTTTTTAAAAATTATTTTTTCCAATTATCCACAGACGTGGATTTTTTAAAAATTATTTTTTCCAATTATCCACAGACGTGGATTATTTAAAAATTATTTTTTCCAATTATCCACAGACGTGGATTTTTTAAAAATTATTTTTTCCAATTATCCACAGACGTGGATTTTTTTAAAATTATTTTTTCCAATTATCCACAGACGTGGATTTTTTTAAAAATTATTTTTTCCAATTATCCACAGACGTGGATTTTTAAAAATTATTTTTTCCAATTATCCACAGACGTGGATTTTTTTAAAAATTATTTTTTCCAATTATCCACAGACGTGGATTTTTTAAAAATTATTTTTTCCAATTATCCACAGACGTGGATTTTTTAAAATTATTTTTTCCAATTATCCACAGACGTGGATTTTTTAAAAATTATTTTTTCCAATTATCCACAGACGTGATTTTTTAAAATTATCCACAGACGTGGATTTTTAAAAATTATTTTTTCCAATTATCCACCGACGTGGATTTTTTAAAATTATTTTTTCCAATTATCCACAGACGTGGATTTTTTAAAAATTATTTTTTCCAATTATCCACAGACGTGGATTTTTTAAAAAATTATTTTTTCCACATTTCAATAGACGTGGATTTTTTAAAAATTATTTTTTCCACATTTCAATAGACGTGAATTTTTTAAAAAAATTTTTTCCAATTATCCACAGACGTGCATTTTTTAAAAATTATTTTTTCCAATTATCCACAGACGTGGATTTTTTAAAAATTATTTTTTCCAATTATCCACAGACGTGGATTTTTTAAAAATTATTTTTTCCAATTATCCACAGGCGTGGATTTTTTAAAAATTATTTTTTCCAAAGACCAACAAAATTTATGCTACTATCCACCCTAATATGTGCCGATATCTAAATCTAAACAAAGAACTACTTTTCTTAACAACAAAAACAATGTTGTCCTTTATTTTGAGGGAGTTGAAGTTATATTTCTTGGCATCCAGAGTTTCTTACTCCAAAAATGGTAAAGAGACATGGAAGTAGCTAAAGAAAGCCAGGAAGTTGCCAAGTTTCGATAAGGAACAAAACCTTTTCCAGCAGGTAATAAAGCTGTAAATTTTATACTTTGGAGTTGGAATAAACCAAAAATATTTTTCTTGATTTCAAAATTTAAACAGACATCCTAAAAGTATGCCACAAAATTAAAAATTAATTCAGATGTTGGTAGTAATAGGTAGGAATCTTTGCTATGTGGAACTTAGGGATTAAATGTAAATTTATTAACTATTTTTGGAATTTAATTTTAATATTTTTTTTATTATTATTTTTTTAAATAAATAAATTAAATATAAATATCTTGACTAAATACAAATGTTAACTAAATGATCATTCATCTTCCTACTCTTCATCATCGGTTTCCTCCTCTTCTTCATCATCTTCGTATTCACAATCTTCGTCATTATCATCTTCGGTGCATTCTTCATCATCTTCCTCCTCCTCCTCTTCGGTTTCCACCTTTGTTTGCTGTGAGCCAGCTTTTAGAGAAGTCTCCTTGTTCTTGACCCCAAATGTCGGCTGATGTTGCTCCTCCTCAAGCCGACTTAGGGGAGACATTGTGGTCGCGTTTTGTGTTTTATTACTGGAATTTTTAGTTGCCTTCAAAGAATCCTTGAGAGAATCCTTAGTATTCAGCATATTTGTGGTGGCAGTACCAATTATATCCGATCCCGATATATTTAATAAATTTTCAAATTTATTTCCCAATTTCAAATTCGGCACAGCAGTTGGGGTACTGGGAGTTATGACCACCACCGGTTTGGGTGTAGTGGAATTGAACCTATTTTTGAGAGGAATTTTTTCATGGCTCTCAGTTACACCCTCCTTGGTAATTGGAGTAATTACCGAGGGTTTCCTGGTAGCTGCCAGATTTTGTGTAACATTAGTACGCCTAATAAGATTTTCATTTATATCATCGGCAATGTCGGCCGTTTCCCAATCCAAGGGTGGTGGTGGGGTTATTCTGGGTGCCACCGTGGAGGTTATCAAAAATTCATCAATAATTTCACAGTTTTTACCCAAATAACCCTGGCGACACTGGCAATGATAGCTGCCATCTTCTTTGGTCAACGATATGCATTTTCCACCATTTTCACAGATATTCGGATTCTCCTTGCAATAGGTGAGGGCTGGAAGGAAAAACAGGTACGAAATTAATAAAAAAATATGTTTTAATAAAAATTAAAAAAAATCTGTTGAAATTTGGAAAAAATAATTCTTTAAAAAATCCACGTCTGTTGAAATTCGGGAAAAATAATTTTTAAAAAAACCACGTCTATTGGTATTGGGAAAAAATAATTTTTAAAAAATCCACGTCTATTGGTATTGGGAAAAAATAATTTTTAAAAAATCCACGTCAATTGGTATTAAGAAAAAATAATTTTAAAAAAATCAACGTCTATTGGTATTGGGAAAAATAATTTTTAAAAAATCCACGTCTATTGGTATTGGGAAAAAATAATTTTTAAAAAATCCACGTCTGTGGATAATTGGAAAAAATAATTTTAAAAAAATCCACGTCTTTTGGAACTGTGAAAAAATAATTTTTAAAAAATCCACGAAGGTGGATAATTGGAAAAAATAATTTTCAAAAAATCCACGTCTGTGGATAATTGGAAAAAATAATTTTTAAAAAATCCACGACGGTGGATAAATGGAAAAAATAATTTTTAAAAAATCCACGTCTGTGGATAATTGGAAAAAATAATTTTTAAAAAATCCACGACGGTGGATAATTGGAAAAAATAATTTTTAAAAAATCCACGACGGGGGATAATTGGAAAAAATAATTTTTAAAAAATCCACGTCGGTGGATAATTGGAAAAAATAATTTTTAAAAAATCCACGTCGGTGGATAATTGGAAAAAATAATTTTAAAAAATCCACGTCTATTGGTTTTGGGAAAAAATAATTTTTAAAAAATCCACGTCTATTGGTTTTGGGAAAAAATAATTTTTAAAATATCCAAGTCTATTGGTATTGGGAAAAAATAATTTTAAAAAATCCACGTCTATTGGTTTTGGGAAAAAATAATTTTTAAAAAATCCACGTCTATTGGTTTTGGGAAAAAATAATTTTTAAAATATCCAAGTCTATTGGTATTGGGAAAAAATAATTTTTAAAAAATCCACGTCAATTGGTATTGGGAAAAAATAATTTTTAAAAAAATTCACGTCAATTGGTATTGGGAAAAAATAATTTTTAAAAAATCCACGTCTACTGGTATTGGGAAAAAATAATTTTTAAAACATCCACATCTATTGATATTTCGAAAAAATAATTTTTAAAACATCCACGTCTACTGGTATTGGGAAAAAATAATTTTTAAAACATCCACATCTACTGGTATTGGAAAAAAATAATTTTTAAAACATCCACGTCAATTGGTATTAAGAAAAAATAATTTTAAAAAAATCAACGTCTATTGGTATAGGGAAAAAATAATTTTTAAAAAATCCACGTCTATAATTTTTAAAAAATCCACATCTTTTGGTATTGGGAAAAATAATTTTTTAAAAAATCCACGTCTTTTGAAACTGTGAAAAAATAATTTTTAAAAAATCCACGTCGGTAGATAACTGGAAAAAATAATTTTTAAAAAATCCACGTCTATTGGTATTTCGGAAAAAATAATTTTTAAAAAATCCACATCTTTTGAAACTGTGAAAAAATAATTTTTAAAAAATCCACGTCTTTTGAAACTGTGAAAAAATAATTTTTAAAAAATCCACGTCTATTGGTATTTCGGAAAAAATAATTTTTAAAAAATCCACATCTTTTGAAACTGTGAAAAAATAATTTTTAAAAAATCCACGTCTTTTGAAACTGTGAAAAAATAATTTTTAAAAAATCCACGTCCTTTGGACCTTTGAGAGAATAATTTTTTAAAAAATCCACGTCTTTTGAAACTGTGAAAAAATAATTTTTAAAAAATCCATGTCCGTGGATAATTGGAAAAAATAATTTTTAAAATATCCACGTCTTTTGAAACTCTGAACAAATAATTTTTAAAAAATCCACGTCTTTTGAAACTGTGAAAAAATAATTTTTAAAAAATCCACGTCTTTTGAAACTGTGAAAAAATAATTTTTAAAAAATCCACGTCTTTTGAAACTGTGAAAAAATAATTTTTAAAAAATCCACGTCTTTTGAAACTGTGAAAAAATAATTTTTAAAAAATCCACGTCTTTTGAAACTTTAAAAAAATATTTTTTAAAAAATCCACGTGATTTGAAACTTTGAAAAACTAATTTTTAAAAAATCCACGTCTTTTGAAACTGTGAAAAAATAATTTTTAAAAAATCCACGTCTTTTGAAACTGTGAAAAATAATTTTTAAAAAATCCACGTCTTTTGAAACTTTAAAAAATATTTTTTAAAAAATCCACGTCTTTTGAAACTTTGAAAAACTAATTTTTAAAAAATCCACGTCTTTTGAAACTTTAAAAAAATAATTTTAAAAAAAATCCACGTCTTTTGAAACTTTGAAATAATTGTTTTTAAAAAAAATCCACGTATTTTGAAACTTTCAAAAAATAATTTTTAAAAAATCCACATCTGTTGAGTATTCAAAAAAATATTTTTTTATAAATTCAATTCTCTTGATTATTCGAAAAAATATTTTTTACAAAATCCACGTCTGTTGATTATTTGAAAAAATATTTTTTAAAATATCCACGCCTGTGGATTATTTGAAAAAATATTTTTTTAAAAGATCCACATCTGTTGATTATTCCAAAAAATATTTTTTAAAAAATCTACGTCTGTTGTTTCTTGAAATTATTTCTGAAATTCTCTCAAAAATATTTTGATTGATATTTTTTTACTCCTAAAAGTATGCATCAAAAATGTTTTTTTTTTCTTACCTTCATCGCACAGTATGCCACCCCAGCCTGGCTTACAGTTACACTCCCATGGCTTCTCACAGTCTCCATTCACACAGCCGGGATAGGGGAAACATTGATCGCATTTGGGACCCGTCCAGCCGACTTTGCAGCTAAAATAAAAAAACACAACCCCGATAAATACGACAAATTTCACCCGGAAGATAAAAATGAACTTCCACGCTACATACCGACACTCTCCCGGCTTCTTGCAATAACCATGTTGTTTATGACAGTCTGAGGCACAAATGGCTATTGGGAGAAATTATTTGCGTTTTTTTTTTAATTTTCAATTTTTTTGAAGAGATGACCGAACTTACGCAATTGACACAATAGACCCGTATATCCCGGCAGACAATTGCATTCCAATGGCTTGTTGCAGGTGCCATGCTGACAGCCGGGCAACACGGCACAATCACTGCAATTACGTCCAGCCCAGCCAATGCGACAACGACACTCATTGGGAGCCTCACAGTAGCCACGTGTGTTGTGGCAGCCCTCACGACAAGAGGCTAAATTTTTTTTTGGAAGGGGGTGGGTAAAGTAATTAACATTCCATGTGAAAACTGGAGGTTCATTGGCAAATACTTACGTTCCGTACAGAAGAGCCCATCCCAGCCAGGACGACAAATGCATTCGAAGGGTTTGGTGCAGTCACCGTGCTGACAGCCGGGCAATGGAATGCATTTATCGCATAATTCTCCAGTGTAGCCAATGCGACAGCGGCACTCGCCCGGACGTTGACAATAGCCTGGGGAGGGAAAAAGAAGAAGAAGAAAAAGATGTCACCAACACCAAAACGATCATCAATTGAAGTATGTGGAGAGGTAATTTCAAGATGGAATGACAGAAACCAAAAGGAATGAATTCAATAGCCTAAAAGTATGCAACACAATATGGTGTAATTGTCAGGGAAAAGACACTGGATCAGAGGAAGTATGGACATTTTTCTACAGAAAAATTCTCCAGCCAAGGGAGGGGGGCTATGAGAAATTTTCTGTAGAAAACTCCTCCAGCCAAGGGAGGGGGCTATGAGAAATCTTCTATAGAAAAATCCTTAAGCCAAGGGAGGGGGCTATGAGAAATTTTCTATAGAAAATTCCTCCAGCCTGGGTTGTGTGAAAAATTTTTCTATAGAAAAATCCTCCAGCCTGGGGTCTGTGAAAATTTTTCTATAGGAAAAATCCTCCAGCCGGGGGTCTGTGAAAATTTTTCTATAGAAAATTCCTCCAGCCGGGGGTCTGTGAAAAATTTTTTATAGAAAAATCTTCCATCCCAGGGGCTGTGAAAATTTTTCTATAGAAAAATCTTCCATCCCAGGAGCTGGGAAAAATTTTCTATAGAAAAATCTTCCATCCCAGGGGCTGGGAAAAATTTTCTATAGAAAAATCTTCCATCCCAGGGGCTGGGAAAAATTTTCTATAGAAAAATCTTCCATCCCAGGGGCTGGGAAAAATTTTCTATAGAAAAATCTTCCATCCCAGGGGCTGGGAAAAATTTTCTATAGAAAATTCCTCCAACCAGGCTGTGAAAAATTTTTCTATAGAAAATTCCTCCAGCCAGGCTGTGAGAAATGTTTCTATAGAAAATTCCTCCATCCCAGGCGCTGTGAAAAATTTTCTATAGAAAATTCCTCCATCCCAGGCGCTGTGAAAAATTTTCTATAGAAAATTCCTCCATCCCAGGGGCTGTGAAAATTTTTCTATAGAAAAATCCTCCAGCCTGGGGTCTGTGAAAATTTTTCTATGGAAAAATCCTCCAGCCTAGGGTCTGTGAAAAATTTTCTATAGAAAAATCCTCCAGCCTAGGGTCTGTGAAAAATTTTCTATAGAAAAATCCTCCATCCCAGGGGCTGTGAAAATTTTTCTATAGAAAATTCCTCCATCCCCGGGGGCTGTGAAAAATTTTCTATAGAAAAATCTTCCAGCCTGGGGTATGTGAAAATTTTCCTCCAGCCTGGGGTCTGTGAGAAATTTTCTATAGAATAATCCTCCTGGTACTTCGATGATTTAATTCTCTTCCACGCCTGCCCTGCTCTTGGCTTTTGCCTCAGGCTTGGTTTTTATCTGATTCTCAGCTAGTCCGACCATTTAATTATATGTGTTTTGTGTTGCACCGAACTGCATTGGAATTTTGCCCTATTCCCAATGGATGGTTAGATGCCATCGATGGATATGGCCATACCAGTTAGTGTTGTGGCTATGAAACTGAGGTCTGCTTTTGGTTTCTTATCATTGTTGTTGTTTTTTTTTTCTGGCACTTACCATTCATGGGGTCACAGCCCTTGCGACACATGGGCACTTGACATAAATCTCCTTGCCATCCTGGTAGGCATTTAACATCGCCCTTATCATCGCAGGTATAATGAGAATTGGCTTTTTGCTTTTGAGCCTTTTCACAGGCCTGGAGGGCACAGAGAGAGAAAAGGGGTGGTTAAAAATTGAGTTCCACAATGGCCATAAGGGGGAAGGGATTTTGAAAGGGGGGAGGGTAAATTGTTGGCCTAAAACCTTAGACTTAGCCTTATCATTGATGTACGATAATGCTGTCTATTGGTCTTTTTTGTTTTGTCAGGACGAAAACAAAAATGGAGAGAATGGCTTGGTGTTGGTCTTTGACCATAGAACAATGAAAAGGTGCCGTAATATTTAGCCTCTTGACTTACCCTTTGTTTCCATAACGGTATACTCGCTTTGGTATATTTTGTGTCATAATTTTGTACGATTGGCAATAGAACTGCCAAGATTGCCAAAAACAACACCTTTGTGGGGGACATCTTGTTATGGGCCTTGTTTGCAATTTACAGCATTCATTACTGGAACGAGGAGGAAGAAAAGGGATGAGATGATTTTTTTTTTTTTTGAAAGGATTGAAAACATCCCATGGGTTTGGAAATTTTTCACAGCCCCTGGGATGGAGAATTTTTCTTTAGAAAAATTTTCACAGCCCCTGGGATGGAGGATTTTTCTATAGAAAAATTTTCACAGCCCCTGGGATGGAAGATTTTTCTATAGAAAAATTTTCACAGCCCCTGGGATGGAAGATTTTTCTATAGAAAAATTTTCACCGGCCCTGGGATGGAAGATTTTTCTATAGAAAAATTTTCACCGGCCCTGGGATGGAAGATTTTTCTATAGAAAAATTTTCACCGGCCCTGGGATGGAAGATTTTTCTATAGAAAAATTTTCACCGGCCCTGGGATGGAAGATTTTTCCATAGAAAATTTTTCACAGCCCCCTGGGATGGAGGAATTTTCTATAGAAAAATTTTCACAGCCCCCTGGGATGGAGGAATTTTCCATAGAAAATTTTTCACAGCCCCCTGGGATGGAGGAATTTTCCATAGAAAATTTTTCACAGCCCCCTGGGATGGAGGAATTTTCTATAGAAAAATTTTCACAGCCTCCCTGGGATGGGGGATTTTTCGATAGAAAAATTTTCACAGCCCCGTGGGATGGAAGATTTTTCCATAGAAAAATTTTCACAGCCCCGTGGGATGGAAGATTTTTCCATAGAAAAATTTTCACAGCCCCGTGGGATGGAAGATTTTTCCATAGAAAAATTTTCACAGCCCCTTGGCTTGAGGATTTTTCTATAGAAAATTTTTCACAGCCCCCGTGGGATGGAGGAATTTTCTATAGAAAACTTTTCACAGCCCCCGTGGGATGGAGGATTTTTCCACAGAAAAAATTTCACAGACCCTGGGATGGAGGAATTTTCTGTAGAAAATTTTTCACAGCCTCCCTGGGCTGGAGGATTTTTCTATAGAAAATTTCTCACAGCCTCCCTGGGCTGGAGGATTTTTCTATAGAAAATTTCTCACAGCCTCCCTGGGCTGGAGGATTTTTCTATAGAAAATTTTTCACATCCCCTGAGATGGAGGATTTTTTTATAGAAAATTTTTCACAGCCACTGGGATGGAGGAATTTTCTATCGAAAATTCTTCACTGCCCCTGGGATGGAGGAATTTTCTATAGAAAATTTTTCACAGCCCCTGGGATGGAAGATTTTTCCATAGAAAAAATTTCACAGCCCCTGGGATGGAGGAATTTTCCATAGAAAATTTTTCACCGGCCCTGGGATGGAAGATTTTTCTATAGAAAATTTTTCACCGGCCCTGGGATGGAGGAATTTTCTATAGAAAATTTTTCACCGGCCCTGGGATGGAGGAATTTTCTATAGAAAATTTTTCACCGGCCCTGGTATGGAGGAATTTTCTATAGAAAATTTTTCACCGGCCCTGGGATGGAGGAATTTTCTATAGAAAAAATTTTCACCGGCCCTGGGATGGAGGAATTTTCTATAGAAAATTTTTCACAGCCCCTTGGGATGGAGGAATTTTCTATAGAAAATTTTTCACAGCCCCTTGGGATGGAGGATTTTTCAATAGAAAAATTTTCAAAGCCCGGGGGTTTGAGGATTTTTCAATAGAAAAATTTTCAAAGCCCGGGGGTTTGAGGATTTTTCAATAGAAAAATTTTCAAAGCCCGGGGGTTTGAGGATTTTTCAATAGAAAAATTTTCAAAGCCCGGGGGTTTGAGGATTTTTCAATAGAAAAATTTTCAAAGCCCGGGTGCTGGAGGAATTTTCTATAGAAAAATTTTCAAAGCTTGGGGGTTTGAGGATTTTTCAATAGAAAAATTTTCAAAGCCCGGGGGTTTGAGGATTTTTCATATAGAAAAATTTTACAGCCCCTGGGATGGAGGAATTTTCTATAGAAAATTTTTTACAGCCCCTGGGATGGAGGAATTTTCTATAGAAAATTTTTTACAGCCCCTGGGATGGAAGAATTTTTCTATAGAAAATTTTTTACAGCCCCTGGGATGGAGGAATTTTCTATAGAAAATTTTTCACAGCCCCCTGGGATGGAGGAATTTTCTATAGGAAATTTTTCACAGCCCCCTGGGATGGAGGAATTTTCTATAGGAAATTTTTCACAGCCCCCTGGGATGGAGGAATTTTCTATAGGAAATTTTTCACAGCCCCCTGGGATGGAGGAATTTTCTATAGAAAATTTTTCACAGCCCCCTGGGATGGAGGATTTTTCTATAGAAAAATTTTCACAGCCCCCGGGGCAAGAGGTTTTTTCCATAGAAAAATTTTGCAGAGCCCCGTGGGATGGAGGATTTTTCTATAGAAAAATTTTGCAGAGCCCCGTGGGATGGAAGATTTTTCTATAGAAAAATTTTGCAGAGCCCCGTGGGATGGAAGATTTTTCTATAGAAAAATTTTCACAGCCCCTGGGATGGAGGAATTTTCTATAGAAAATTTTTCACAGCACCGTGGGATGGAGGAATTTTCTATAGAAAATTTTTCACAGCACCGTGGGATGGAGGAATTTTCTATAGAAAATTTTTCACAGCACCGAGGGATGGAGGAATTTTCTATAGAAAATTTTTCACAGCACCGTGGGATGGAGGAATTTTCTATAGAAAAATTTTCACAGCCCCTGGGATGGAAGATTTTTCCATAGAAAATTTTTCACAGCCTCCCTGGGCTGGAGGATTTTTCTATAGAAAATTTTTCACAGCCTCCCTGGGCTGGAGGATTTTTCCATGGAAAATTTTTGTCAGCCCCTGGGATGGAGGATTTTTCTATAGAAACATTTTCACAGCCCCGGGGATGGAGGAATTTTCTATAGAAAATTTTTCACAGCCCCTGGGATGGAGGAATTTTCTATAGAAAATTTTTCACAGCCCCTGGGCTGGAGGAATTTTCTATAGAAAATTTTTTACAGCCCCTGGGCTGGAGGAATTTTCTATAGAAAATTTTTTACAGCCCCTGGGCTGGAGGAATTTTCTATAGAAAATTTTTCACCGCCCCTGGGCTGGAGGAATTTTCTATAGAAAATTTTTCACAGCCCCTGGGCTGGAGGAATTTTCTATAGAAAATTTTTCACAGCCCCGCGGGATGAAAAATTTTTCTATGGAAAAATTTTCACAGCCCCTGGGATGAAAGATTTTTCTATGGAAAAATTTCCTCAGTCCCTGGGATGAAGATTTTTTATTGAAAAATTTTCACAGCCCCTGGGTTGGAGGATTTTTTTTTTTTTTTCTAAGATTTTTATTTTTCTAAGATTTTTCCATAGAAAACTTTTCAAAGCCCCAGGGCTTGAAGATTTTTTTTGGGGAAGTTTTCCTTTTGTTTCCATTGAAAAAATCTCCAATTCTATCCCCACTTTTTCCCCAGTTTCCTATAAACATTTTTTTCTTTTAAGCGTTGTTTTTTTCTTTAGCATTACCATAATGGCCAGTATTGTCACTGAAAATAATTTCACTTCGAATTTTACTTTTTTTTCTTCTTCTTCTCTCACAAAGGCCAGTTGTTAAACCACGGTTACGTTAACGGAATTTTTAATTCTTTTTCTTCAGTTGTTTTTTTTTATATTTCTTATAAATAAACAATTGGACCTCTCACTTTTCTTGTTAAAAACCAACAAAATCCACTAGAAATAGAAATGCAACAACAATTCCAAATTTAATTTAGTCCGCTCTCGATTTGGTTGTCTTCAGCACTTTCCGTTACCATGAACTTGACTTAAAGCCGGTCTTAATAACACTAAAGTCGCCGTTTTGGCTTCGAGAAGAAATGCCTATGCGTTACAATGCAAAACAAACAAAAGAGAGCGAGAGAGATATAGAGAGAGAGTGGGAGAGAGTAAAAGTATTCTTGCCGTTTGACCAAATGTGGGTCAAACGGTTTTCTTTTACTTTGTAAAGAAGAGAGGTTTCAAAACAAGAAAGACGTTAAGAAACTAAAGAGTCAACAAAACAAAAGAAATGGCCAGAGATGGAAATGTTGAATTACTAAGAATAATTTATGAGTTATGGGTTTTAAAGAGTGATTTCAAAAGGGACAAATCATTCGAGTATTACAGGTCGAACAAAATTTTGTCAAGAAAAGATTTTCTAGATTTTCCCTGGAAAAGCCTGTTTTTGGGAGAATTTTTAGCTAAAATTATTTAGAAAAAAAAAAAATTAGAAAATCTTTTAAAATTTTTTCTATATTTTTTTGAAATAAAATATTATTAAATTTAAAAAAATATATTAAATGTTGTCATTAACAACTTCCCATCCCTGCATGAAACTGGTGAATCAAGTGTGTGTAATCCACTTCTTGGTACGTTTGCGTACCAATTGCTCATTCGTGACTATGTCATTTACTCGCTTAGACCCATGGGCAGTCATCGCGTAATGTATTATTAAACAAAAAATCACAACAAGAACAACTATTGGGTCAATGTGAATAGATGTTTAATTAAATTTGTAAGTTTTTGAAAATGGTTATTTGGGGTCAATGGCCGCCACACAAGCCATAAAGGGAACCTAAAAAGGATTATTTTTACCATAGAGAAATAAAAAACGATGATAGAATTGACAGCAATAAAGATTTCAACATTTTCAACCATTTAGATTACAGTATAACAGTTTTTCGATAGTGTTATACGTCCCAAAAATACCTAAAATAGGTATTTTTTCAATAAAAGAGAAAAGTTTATTTAATTTTTAATTAAAAATTACAGTATAACAGTTTTCTCGAAACTGTTATACTACTGAAATCTCCAGCAAATTGAATTTCTTTTGAATAATAAGCATAGAAACGGCTTAAAAATGGCTTAACACATTGTATAACAGTTTTCTCGAAACTGTTATACTGCTAAAATCACCATCAAATTGAGTTTCTTTCGAAGAATAAACATAAACAACGCATAAAAATGGTTTTACACGTTGTATAACAGTTTTTCGAAACTGTTATACTCATGAAATAACCACCAAATTGAGTTTCTTTCGAAGAATATACATAAACAACGCATAAAAATGGTTTAACACGTAGTATAACAGTTTTCTCGAAACTGTTATACTGTAAAAAAATCTATCAAAAAGTGTTTTTTGTTCAAATTATAACAAGAATAAGTAATTCTGTATATTTGGAAACCATTTAAAGCTGCAAAAAAACTGTTATACTGACAAGAAAATCGGTGCTTACGCAACAATTTGCAAAAACTTAAATGTAAATAGTACCTATGGCCTGGGTAACAGTTATTGATACCATTAAAAACTATTGCTTGTTCAAAATATAGCAAGAAATATCATTGAATTATATTTTGCAAACAGTAAAACTGTTATACTACTGAAAAAGTAGTTGCTACAAAATATTTCAAAAATCAAAAATGTAATAATATTTTGTGGTGCTGCATAACAACTCTTGATACAGCTCTTTTTTGAAATTTCATTAAACAAAAAATTAAAATAATACTTCGGTATGCCGTATAACAGTTTTTTTGGGCCACTACATGAACAAAAAACAACGCTTTAATTAATTTTTAAAGTCAATGGGCTACATATTATTCTACAAAACTACTCGTAATAATTCTTTTGCGGAAATCTGGAAAAAATTCCTCGTAATATGAAATTGCTATGTTGTATAACAGTTTTTCAAAACTGGTATACTATCACAATTCCAATCAAATTTAAGTTATTTCGTGAAATACATCAAAAAATGCAAGAAATAAGAATTTTATACGCTGTATAACAGTTTTCTTAAACTGTTATACTGTACAAAAAAACCTACAAAAAACTGTTATTTTTTCTAAATAAACCAGGAAAAATCACCTGGGTGAAGTTTGAGAACATATATAAATGTTAGAAAACTGTTATACTGCTCAAAAATCTGTGTTTACTTCGAAATTTCGGCAAAAAAATGGCATCTAAAAATTCCTTGGTATGCCGTACAACAGTTCTTGGAAACAAGCATGCTATGATTTTTTTTTTGGAAAATTTAAAAAAAAATCAATAATAATAGTTTAGTAGGCTGTATAACAGTTTTGTTAGACCACTTTATGACGAAAAGGTACTGCTTAAAGGAATTTAATTTGTTTTACAACTTGAATCTCCATGCAATGGTTAATTTTTTTCCGAAATCTGGCCAAATATTCATTGAATTTTAACTGTTAATAACTGTTATACCAACTGTAATTAACTGTTATACCAACGAAATCACTTTTAATATTTATTTCTTACCAAAATATAGCAAAAAACACAAGAAATAAGAGATTTTACATGTTGTATAACAGTTTTATAAAACTGTTATACAGCTTGAAAACGTATCAAACACTGTTACTTTTTCTAAATATAACAATGAAGACCAATTTTGTATACTTCCTGCGCATTTATGACAGTAATAAAACTGTTATACTGCTCAAAAATCTGTGATTTTCAAGAAAAAATTGTGTTATAATTCCCGGTTATGTTGTATAACAGATTATGGAAACTAACATGGTGTGATTATTTGGAAATTCTACACGAGGAGAAAGATAATAATAAAAATAGTTTTGCCTGTATAACAGTTTGGTTATACCACTTTAAGAAAAAAGGTGCCGCTTATAACACTTTTATTTGTTGTTTACAATTTTTATCCTCCTCTATTGGCCACCGTTTTTCGAAATCTGGCAAAAATGTTAATTGAAAATTAATCATGGTTGTTGTATAACAGTTTCTTAAAACTGTTATACTAATGAAATCTCTATTAATATTTAGTTTTTTGCGAAATATAGAGAAAATACACAAAAAATTAGCGTTTTTCATGATGTATAACAGTTTTCTGAAACTGTTATACTGCTTTAAAAAGTATCTAATACTGTTATTTGTTCAAAATATAGCAGGCTGATCCAATTAGGCAAAGTTTCGAAGCATTTAGGACCGTAGTGAAACTGTTATACTACTAAATATTAGATTTGTTTGTGATATCTTGCAAAAAAAAATTATGTAAAAATTCTCTAAGATATTATATAACAGTCCATTAAAACTAATATGCTGTGATTAGTTGGAAATTTTACGAAAAAAAATGTGTTGTAAACTGTATAACAGTTTTGTTAGACCAATTTGTTGAACAAAGAAACAGATTTAAAAAAATCGATTTGTTTTTCAGCTTAAATTCCACTGCAATGGTTATTTTTTACAGAAATCTGGGAAAATTTTTCCTTGAATTTTAATTTGGGCTGTAGTATAACAGTTTTTCCAAACTGTTATACCAACGAAATCATTAACAAATGTTTTTTTCTTCCAAAATATAGCTAAAAAAAACCCAAGAAAGAGGAGTTTGACGCGTTGTATAACAGTTTTTTTAAACTGTTATACAGCCTGAAAACGTATCAAATGCTGTTAATTTTTCGAAATATAGCAAAAAAACCCAATTTCGGTATAGTTCCGAAACATTTATAACCATAATGAAACTGTTATACTACTAAAAATTACATGTTTTTGTGATATCTTGCAAAAAAACATATGTCTTAGTTCTCTGTGATGCTATATAACAGTCCTTTAAAACTTATATGCTGTGATTAGTTGGAAATTTTACAAAATTGCTTTGCAGACTGTATAACAGTTTTGTTCGACGAATTTGTTGAAAAGAGGAATAGATTTAAAAAATCAAATTGTTTTTCAGCTTAAATTCCACTGCAATGGTTATTTTTTACAGAAATCTGGAAAAAATTGTCATTGAATTTTAATTTGGGCTGTAGTATAACAGTTTTTCCAAACTATTATACCAACGAAATCATTAACAAATGTTATTTTCTTCCAAAATATAGCTAAAAAGCCCAAGAAATAGAAGTTTGCCACGATGTATAACAGTTTTTTGAAACTGTTATACTGTCGTAAAAAGTGCAAAAAACTGTTATTTGTCCAAATTTTAGCAGGAAAAAACATATTCGATATAGTTCAAGGCCATTTAACAGTGTAATGAAAGTGTTATACTGCTTAAAAATTAGCTTTTTCTTCAAAATATCACAAAAAATCGTATAGTGTTGTACTTTTAATGCTATATAACGGTTTCACTGAATTCCGGATTTAATTATGATATTTTTCTGAAAAAATAAAATATTTCTAAGCATTATGAAATGCAGTATAACAGTTTTTAAGAGAGAGAGAGATAAATATTTTTTTATTTTTTTTTTATTTTATTTATTTTTTTTTTTTTTAACTTTAAACTCTCTATAAAATTCACACCAATTCTCAAAATATTATTATATTTATAAAATAAATATTATTAAATAAATTATTTTTAAATACAATTTCCTCCATGGACCACATGTTGTTCACCTCTGCCTTTGCGGTCTATTATTTTTCGATTTATGTTCATGTCACATTTTTGTTTGAAATTCATCACAAACAACAACAACAACAACAACAACAAATCCATAAACCTATTCTATAATTAAATTAACATTGAACTTAAAATAGAAAATCGAACAGATTTTATGTTTGAAAAATTAAAAAAAAAACATCGCAGTAGAAGAAAAACAACAAAGAAATGGAAAAGGCTGTTTGTTTGTAAACAAATCCAAAAATTACCCCCCGTATTGACTGCACCAACAACAACAACGCTCAGGCAAACAGCACGACAACATATTCCATGGTAATCAGTACTCAACACTTGTTGTAGGTCAAAAGATCAATGGGAGGCCTGCAAAACGAAAACAAACCACAGGCCCAAACACATGCACACGTACACACATGTATGTATGTTCGGGTCTCTCATTTCCTCTTTTGTTGAGTGTCTGAATCTGTTAATTTGAAGAATTTTTCTCATTTACGCTCAGCATGTGTTTTTTGTGAGGGCGGCAGGGTATAGGGTTGCCGTGTATTATTAAAAAAAAAATAAAAAATTAGTTTCCGTTAGTTTGGGGCAGTATAACAGTCTTGCGAAACTGTTATACAACATTTTTAAGTTTATTATGTTCGAATTTTCATTTGATATTGTGAGAATATAAGAAATTTGCATTTTGGCATTGTATAACAGTTATTCCAAACTGTTATACAACCATTCAAACTTCAAAAAAACTGTTCTTTCCTATTTTTTTCTTTGAAAATATAGCAAATGTAACGAAAAATGGCAAATTTTCTGTGTTTTGTGTCATTATAACAGTTTGGACAAACTGTTATACCGTAAATTAAACATTTGAAAATCTATTAGAATTAAATCCAAGACAAATACTACGAAAACTAACAAATTTCCCATACTTTCTGAGAGTATAACAGTTAACAAAAACTGTTATACAACAATGCAAACGTTCAAAATTAAAAACTTTCGACCTTTTCTTCAAAAGTATACGAAAAACAAGACATTTTCAACAGTTTCTAATAGTATAACAGTTAACAAAAACTGTTATAACAATGCAAACGTTTAAAATTACAAATGTTGGTGGTTATTTTCAATGCATAACCAAAATCTAAACAATTTCCATATTTACAGTTATAGCTAATTATTATAACAGTTTATGTCTAACTGTTATACAGCAAAAATATGAAATAAATTAAAAAAGGCAGTATGAATTTATTTTAACATTTTGGAATGAAATTTCTTTAATATATTTTGAAAATCTAACCGATTTTCGAAATTTTTCGACAGTATAACAGTTTGCTGAAACTGTTATACAACAAACCACACGTTGTAAAAAACAATTTTTAACGGCACAATAGACAAAATAATAGTTTTATGGCTTTTTTGATAGTATATCAGTTTGCTAAAACTGTTATACTGCATAAAAATCGTTGTAAAATAATTTTTTTTTGTCCAATTTCGAGATAAAACCCATTGTCAAAACAGTTTCAGTTTCAGTAAATCCAAAAACAGATTTTTGTATTGTATGATAGTTCTGTAAAACTGTTATACAGCATGCAAAGCATTCCTGCATTCATTTTAATGCATATATCAAGAAAACCAACAATTTTATTGGCTTTTATGGGAGTATAACAGGTTTCTGAAACTGTTATACGGCTAGCGAAACTTACTGAAATTAAGATTTTTACCGAAGAAACCAGCATAGCTATTAAAATTACAATCATTTTGCAGATTTTTTAAAGATTATTTTATAGAAATGTTGGAGAAAACTGTTATACAGGCAGCCAAACCTAGGCAAATGAAAGTGAAATGGATTGAAAAATGTTTCTAAGCCAAATTCTTAGCTTCATTTTGAAAAAATCATAATTTTCCAGCATTATTGATTGTATAACAGTTTGTAAAAACTGTTATACGACATACAAAACATGGAAAAAATGTATTTCGAAAAAAAAATCATAATTTTCTTTAACATTTGTAAAATATTTTTTTGTTTCTCTGAAGAATAAAAATACAATTTTCGCTATATTTTACTGTATAACAGTTTGGAAAAACTGTTATACAACATGCAAAATATATTATAAGTACGTTTTTTGTGTATATTTTTACAAACAATTCGTTTTTGTAGGTTTTTGGATTGTATAACAGTTTTGCCAAACTGTTATACAGCAAGCAAAACTTCGAAAAATATTATTTTCATCAACATATCACCGAAAAAATGAAATTCTTTGCATTTTATACAGTTTATAACAGTATAACAGTTTTTCCAAACTGTTATACAGTAAGCAAAACTTCAAAAAATGTATTTTTATTCAACATATCAACGAAATAATGAAATTCTTTGCATTTTTTGGTTGTATAACAGTTTTTCCAAACTGTTATACAGTATGGAAAACTTCAAAAAATTTTATTTTTAATCAATTTTTTTCAAAATAATGAAATTCTCTGCATTTTTGGATGTATAACAGTTTGGCGAAAACTGTTATACTGCAATTTCAAGCATTATTTTCAAATTTCTCGTTTGTTTGAACTTAAAAATGGATGTATATGAGTTTTGTTTAAAATTTTTATACTTTGGCAACCCTATTTTCTTTGATTCCTAAGAATCCTCAATTTGCCGCCGGCTAGGGTCCGAATGTTGCCACTAAAATATTTTGTTTTCAGTGCAGTTTGAAAATTCACTGTGAAAAGTCTTTTGATTATTTCGCTTTCCCGTTGTTTAACAAAAAAAATAACCCTCCTCCCCCTCTCTCTCTCTCTTCTGGTGAAAATCGTTTTTTGGAAAATAAAACACAAATGTCTGCGGAAAACCGACATTTATGGCATTTATGCTTCGTTGTCGTCACTTTTGCCGTTATGCTTTCCCAGATCAGCATCGATGCGGAAGCTTATCAGATGCTGTTACCTGCAGGTATTCAAAATTGACAACATTCTAGAAACTCAAAGAAGATCAGGGAGGAAAAACAAAAAAAAAAAAAGGAAAATGCTAACGATTTGTGTTTCTTTTGTTTTTGTTCTATTTTTCTTCGTCGGCCATGTTCTGGAAAATTTTTGATGTTTTGCCATGTTTTTTTTTTCTCGTTTCGTGCAAATGGCATTCACAATAACCATAGGCGAGGATGGAAATTGTACATATCGTGGTGACAAACTGGAACTGGGACAACAGAGTGGTCCGGTGCCATGCCAGCGTTTAACCTGCAACGAGGATGGAACGGTGTTAGTTGAAGGGTAAGTTATGGGAAATGAATTTCATTTTGGAAGGGGTGGGAATATTTTTACGCATTTTCAATAGTTTTTTTTTTTTTTTTTTTTTTTTTTTGTAATGTGGAATTTGGGGTTCCCCTGTAAAAATACGCCGATTTCTTAAATGACATCTATGTGATGAACAAAGCGAACCATATCGCCTGGCCTGTTAATTTGTTTTGAAATTTCGCAATGCTGATAAGAGTTGAACTTATTTTCTGCGAAACTTTGCATTTAAATTCGTTGATATGGAAAAGCGTTTGGAATGCAGTAACGTCAAGTCATTCGTTTTAAAACTACTCAACATGGAATTAAAAAATATTTTCAGGCCATGATTAACATTTCTAATTATTTTTGGTCCACCTCGTCGCCTTCGATTCAGGATTTTCATAAAAAAAGAGTCCAAAACGTGGATTTTCTCAAAGAAAGTCTCCAAAGTGAATATTAAAAAAAATCGCGAGTTCTTTAATCGAGCATTTTCTTAAGTGTATTTTTTGAAAATTTCTCCAAACAAAAAAGTCTCCAAACGTAGATTTTTAAAGAATTCTTGGAGATAGACTTTTATTCAAATTTTGAATTTTTGGTAGGTCTCCAATCTTAAATTTTTATTCAAGGAATTTTTGCAAGGTCTCCAAAGTGAATTAAAAAAATCCAAGGTCTCCAAAAATAGATTTTTGAAAGATTTTTAACACAAAAATCTCCAAACGTAGATTTTCAACGGATTTTTTTCGAGGTGTCCAAAGGAAATTTTTTGAAAAATTTTCCAAGGTCTCCAAACGTATATTTTTTTAAAGTCATTAACAAAAAAGTCTCCAAATTGAGATTTTTATAGAATTTTTGCAGATCTCTAAAATTTATATTTTAAAAAAGTTTCTCAAAGTCTCCAAAAGTGGATTTTTAAAGAATTCTTCTGAGGTCTCTCCAATCGTGAATTTTTAAAGAATTCTTGTGAAGTCTCCAATCGTGGATTTTTAAAGAATTCTTCTGAGGTCTCAAATCGTGGATTTTTAAAAAATTCGTCTGAGGTCTCCAATTGTGGATTTTTGAGGAATTCTTGTGGGGTCTCCAATCGTGGATTTTTAAAGAGTTCTTGTGAGGTCTCCAATCGTGGATTTTTAAAGAATTCTTCTGAGGTCTCCAATCATGGATTTTTAAAGAATCCTTGTGAGGTCTCCAATTGTGAATTTTTAAAGAATTCTACTGAGGTCTCCAATCATGGATTTTTAAAGAATTCTTGTGAGGTCTCCAATCGTGAATTTTTAAAGAATTCTTCTGAGGTCTCCAATCGTGGATTTTTAAAGAATTCTTGTGAGGTCTCCAATCATGGATTTTTAAAGAATTCTTCCAAGGTCTCCAAATTCTTCCAAGGTCTTAAAAAATTCTTGTGAGGTCTCCAATCGTGGATTTTTAAAGAATTCTTCTGAGGTCTCAAATCGTGGATTTTTAAAGAATTCTTGTGAGGTCTCCAATCGTGGATTTTTAAAAAATTCTTGTAAGGTCTACGACGGTAATATTTTTAAAGAGTATTTTTAAGGTCTCCAAACGTAGATTTCTGTAAGATTTTTAATAAAAAAGTCTCCAAATGTAGGTTTTGTTAAGAATTTTTGCGATTTTTTAGAGAAATATTTCGAGGTCTCCAAAAGCAAATCTCTTAATTTGGACTTTCACAGGTCTGCAAATACATTTTTTAAAAGTCCTCAAATGTATATTTTGTTAAGAATTTTTGGAAGGTTTCCAATTTAGAATTTTTAAAGAAATTTTACGAGGACTCCAAAGTGGATCTTTCAAAGGTCTCTAAACATAGATTTTTGTAGGATTTTTAATAAAAAAAAAATCTATAAACGTGGATGTTTGAAGAATTTTTGCACGGACACTAAAAGGCATATTTTAAAGAGATTTCTCGTGGACTACGAAAGTGAATTTATTTGAAAAAAATGCGAACTCTCCAATTGTGGACTTTTTCAAAGAATTTTTGCGAGGACTCCATAATGAATTTAAAAAATAAAATTCCAAGGCTTCCAACGTAGATTCATTTAAAATTTTCAAAAAAAAAAAAACCCAAAGAATTCTTACGAAGTCTCCAAAGTGAATTTTTCAAAAATTTTCCGAGGTCTCCAAACGCAGATTTTAGTGGAATTTTAAAAAAAGTCTCCAGAAGTGGATTTTTAAAACATTTTCCAAGGTCTCCAAACGTAGATTTTGGTAAGATTTTTAACAAAAAAGTCTCCACGTGTGGATTTTTCAAAGAATTTTTGCGAGGTCTTATATTTTTTTAAGAGGTTTCTTATGGTCTCCAAGCGTGGATCTTTTAATCAAATTTCCGAAGATTTTTTTCAAATAATATTTTCGAAGTCTCCAATAGTAGATTTTTGAGGAAATTTTCCTTGGTCTCACAAACGTTTTTTTTACAAAACACTCTACAAATGTAGATTTTGTACAATTTCTCCAAAACTTAATTTTTAAAAAAAAATTTTGCGAGGTTTCCTAAAAGCGAATTTTTAATTATATTTTAAAGGTTTCCGACCAAAAAAAAAAAAATTAATAAATAAATGAAATATAGAATATTCCCAGGCCTCTTAATGTGGATATTCCCAGGCCTCCAAATACAAGTTTTATTTTAAAGTCTCCAAAATTTAGATTCTTAAAGAATTTTTGCGATGTCTCCAAAAATTGATTCTTAAAGAAATTTTCAGAGGACTCCCAAAAGCGAATTTTTAATAAAAATTTCAAGGTTTCCGCAGCGTGGGTTTTTTTAAAGAAATTTTCCCAGCCTTAAGATCCGGATTTTTAAAGTATATCCGTATTTTAAAGGGCTACCAAATGTGGATTCCAAAATTATTTTTTACAGAATTTTCTCGATCTATAATCGTTTTTTAAACCCATTTTTCCCGACCCCCAAAGTATTTTCCCAAGGCTCCAAAGGTGTTTTCCCAAGGCTCCAAGCGAGGATATTGAAAGAAATCAAAAGCATTTTCAAAGCCTTCCTAACGTGGATTGTGAAAGGATTTTCTAAGGCCATATTTATCTACTGGCCTTGCAGAATCGGTTATCGCTGTAAACAATTTTATAAAATTTTACACAAATTTAGTACCATTTAGTACAGTTCGTACACTTAGTACAAATTTTCAAAATTCCCTTCACACATCAAACTTACTTTCCAACCTTGAATTTCATACCAAATTTTCAAATTTTTAGCTTTGTCCGTTCATATAACACCAAATGGTACACTTTTTGGAAGTTTAGTACTATTTTAGAACTATTGGAATTTGTAAATACCCTTTGGTACACCTAGCCAGCTCTCCATCAATGACTCTCATTTCAAATTTCATTCCATTTGTCCAACGCAAAGTATTTAATTTTTAGTACATTTTAGTACATTTCGTACCTTTTTGGTACTAATTTCCAAAAATCCAGCCTTAAAGCTACATCTGCCGATACTTCGAAAAAATATATTTTTTCCAAGTCCAAAAAATCCACGTCTGTTGATAGATTTTCCATTTAATTTTTGTTGTTCAAAAAGTGTTGCCTACTTTTAGGCCATTACATTACTGACTCGCTTTTTTTTCTTTTTAATTTAATATTTTTTTTTTTGTTATTCTTTACCACAACTAAACAGATGCGGCAAACTTTGGATACAAAACTGCAACCGTGGCGAACGTGTGAATCCTGAGAAGCCCTATCCAGAATGCTGTAAGCTGGTGTATAAATGTAAAAATCCCGATGGTTCGTCGTATTACATTGAAAAGGATGCCCTCGACAGTAGTAATGTGAAGAGTGAAAACTCAACATAGTTTGGGCAGATTTTTTTTATTTTGTTTTTTCATTTGCTCATGTGAATAGAGGGAACTCCATTAGAACGTAGGTGAAATGTATAAAAAGAAATTTAGTTTTATTTTATTTCATTTTTCTATTATTATTTATTATAAAATAATTGTATATTTTTGAATAAAAAATAAAAAAATATAAAGAAAATAAAAAAAATAAAATTAAAAAAATATTTAAAATTCAATTAAAGGCGTATACGTAACGACAATACGTATACTCCCGCATTTGCTGTGGCTGGTATAAGCAACGTCTTCAAGTATACGCCCACCCATACAGCCCCCTTAATTGTATTTGGATCATAATAAAGGAAACTGCTTCCTCTCTCCGTCGCCCTCTCCCTCTCTCATCCCATTGAGCTCATAATCAAAATTGAAGTTAATATCCTTTTATGCTCAACGAATATTTAAATCGATTCGAATATCCTTTTCGCTCATAGCAGCAACAAAAAAAAATGAACCGACAGATGACAGTTTTACCTTTCACCTCTTAAAACTATTTTGTTTCCATTTAGCTGGGTAACTGGCGAAAGTGCTGGGAATACAACTTGCATTCCACTTAAATAACAATCAAAAGATGAGTGTGTAAACGTTGTTATCCTTCGTTATATTTTTGTTATTGCTACTGGAATTGTTGGCAAACATAGGCGGAACAATTGGAGGGGAAATTGGGATTTAAAAAATTATTAAAAAAAGATTATTTTAAAAAAATATTTTTTCAAAAAATCAACAGACGTGGATTTCTTAAAAAATATTTTTTTTTTCAAAAAATCAACAGACCTGGATTTTTTTAAAAAATATTTTTTCAAAAAATCAACAGACATGGATTTTTTAAAAAATATTTTTTCACAAAATCAATAGACCTGGATTTAAAAAAAAAATATATTTTCAAAAAATCAATAGACCTGCATTTCTTTAAAAATATTTTTCTTGATTAATGAACGGACGTGGATTTTTTAAAAAATATTTTTTTGATTAATGAACAGACGTGGATTTTTTAAAAAATATTTTTTTGATTAATGAACAGACGTGGATTTTTTAAAAAAATATTTTTTTGATTAATGAAAAGACGTGGATTTAAAAAAAAAATATGGTTTAGAACTAACAACAGACGTGGATTTTTTAAAAAATATTTTTTAAAAGTAACAACAGACGTGGATTTTTTAAAAAATATTTTTTCAAAAGTAACAACAGACGTGGATTTTTTAAAAAATATTTTTTCAAAAGTAACAACAGACGTGGATTTCTTAAAAAATATTTTTTCAAAAGTAACAACAGACGTGGATTTTTTAAAAAATATTTTTTAGAAGTAACAACTGACGTGGATTTTTTTAAAAATATTTTTTTATTTATGAACAGACGTGGATTTTTTAAAAAATATTTTTTTTATTTATGAACAGACGTGGATTTTTTAAAAAATATTTTTTAGAAGTAACCACAGACGTGGATTTTGTAAAAAATATTTTTTTAGAAGTAACCACAGACGTGGATTTTTAAAAAATATTTTTTTTTCAAGAATCCACAGACGTGGATTTTTTTTAAATATTTTTTTGAAGACTATCAACAGACGTGGATTTTTTCTTAAACATTTTTTTGAATTTTTCATTGGATTTTTTAAAAAAAATATTTTTTTCAAAGAAACAACATTTTTAAAAAATAGTTTTTCCAAAAATCCAGAGACGTGGATTTTTTAAAAAATAGTTTTTCCAAGAATCCACAGACGTGGATTTTTTAAAAAATATTTTTTAGAAGTAACCACAGACGTGGATTTTTTAAAAAATATTTTTCAGAAGTAACAATAGACGTGGATTTTTTTAAAAAATATTTTTTAGAAGTAACAACAGACGTGGATTTTTTAAAAATATTTTTTAGAAGTAAAAACAGACGTAAATTTTTAAAAATATTTTTTAGAAGTAAAAACAGACGTGGATTTTTTAAAAAATATTTTTTTCAATTATCAAGGAACGTGGATTTTTTAAAAAATATTTTTCAGAAGTAACAACAGACGTGGATTTTTTAAAAAATATTTTTTTCAATTATCAAGGAACGTGGATTTTTTAAAAAATATTTTTTAGTACTAACAACAGACGTGGATATTTTTAAAAAATATTTTTTGGAGTAACAAGAGACGTGGATTTTTTAAAAAATATATTTTGGAGTAACAACAGACGTGGATTTTTTAAAAAATATATTTTTAGAAGCAACCACAGACGTGGATTTTTTAAAAAAATATTTTTTTTTAATGAACAGACGTGGAATTTTTAAAAAAATATTTTTTCAAAGTAACAACTGACGTGGATTTTTTAAAAAATATTTTTTAGAAGTAACAACTGACGTGGATATTTTAAAAAATATTTTTTAGAAGTAACAACTGACGTGGATATTTTAAAAAAAATATTTTTAAAAAAATGCACGTCTGTTTTTACTTCTAAAAAATATTTTTAAAAAAATGCACGTCTGTTTTTACTTCTAAAAAATATTTTTAAAAAAATGCACGTCTGTTTTTACTTCTAAAAAATATTTTTAAAAAAATCCACGTCTGTTTTTACTTCTAAAAAATATTTTTTTAAAAAATCCACGTCTGTTTTTACTTCTAAAAAATATTTTTAAAAAAATCCACGTCTGATTTTACTTCTAAAAAATATTTTTTTAAAAAAACCACGTCTGTTGTTACTTCTAAAAAATATTTTTTAAAAAATCCACGTCTGTTGTTACTTTTAAAAAATATTTTTTTAAAAATCCACGTCTGTTGTTACCACTACAAAATAGAATAAACTGTCGTGGATTTTTTAAAAAATATTTTTTTCAAAGAATTAACTATTGTGGATTTTTAAAAAAATATTTTTGTTTTGATTTTTTAAATATTTTTTTAAAAAATATTTTTTTTACAAGTTTCAGAAGACTTGGATTTTTTAAAAAATATTTTTTCCAAATTTCAGAAAAATTGAATTTTTAAAAAAATATTTTTTCCAAGTTTCAGAAGAAGTGGATTTTTTAAAGAATATTTTTCCCAAGTCTGAGGTGACTTGGATTTTTTAAAAAATATTTTTTCAAAGCATCAGCAGACGTGGATTTTTTAAAAAAAATATTTTTTCCCTCTCAGCAACGCCCAATGCTGTCTGTCACCCAACTGCCTTGTTGTGAAACTACCGTTAAGTATTGAAAATTCAAGTGTGCTTGTTTGTGTGCGCGGGCTCTTAAAGCTGCATCAAAAAGGATATGGCAAAAGGAAGAAACATACACATCTTACCTTTAACCCTACACTTAATATTTTCGCCCCCACCCCCCCGCCTCTTCGGAATGAAAAACGCATTTAATAGCAATCAGTGTAAATACAACGAAAGCAACATGAAAACTTTATTGAGGGAAACTGTTAAGGAGGAAAACATGAAAAGGATAAAAAATAAGAAGGAAGAATGTTACATGGCATCTACGTTAATCGAATGTAAATTTTATAAGAATAATAAGGATGTACTTGTGAGTTATATATGAAAATAATATGAAAAGCATACATTTCCAGGAAAAGCATTAAAATAGGGCTATCTGGGAAAATCCTTTATAAATGGAATATGTTCCTTTTAACCCTTGTATTTTGTTATTTTTTTATATGCTATCCAACCCATATTCATTGAGCAATAGATTTGTTCCGCCAGCCGCCTGCTGACGTTGCAGATCCAACAGAAGTCGATGACGAAAGTGCATGGTCTTCAAACGCTGCATACGCCGCTTCAAATTACAGTAAACCGGACAACAGTCTGGGAATGGTTTATACATTAGCTCCTCCTCATCGCCCTGCTCGCACTGGTCCGGTAGGATGTCCAAACAGCTGTGAAGGTTGTTGCATAGAATTGTTTTGGAAAATAAAATAAGAAATGAAAATCGTGATTAAAACATTTTTCGGTTCAGGGTAGGTAAAAAGGATTAATCGGACAGGGCCGATTTTCGAAATAATCCATAGCGAAGTTAATAAAATTTTTTTTTAATCTACGTCCTAAATTCCAAAGAAATATTTTTAAAATTAAAATCTACGTCAGTTTAAAATTCAAAAAAAAATATTTTTAAAAAATCTACACCAGTTTAAAATTCGAAAAAAAATATTTTTAAAAAAATCCACGTCAGTTTAAAATTCAAAAAAAAAATATTTTTAAAAAATCTACGTCAGCAAAAAAATTAGAAAAAAATATTTTTAAAAAATCCTCGTCAATTTAAAATTCGAAAAAAATATTTTTAAAAAAGTCCACGTCAATTTAAAATTCGAAAAATATATTTTAAAAATCCACGTATGTGTAAATCCCGAAAAAATATTTTTTATAAAACCACGCCCAGTTAAAATTCGAAAAAATATTTTTTATAAAACCACGCCCAGTTAAAATTAGAAAAAAATATTTTTTAAAAAATCCACGTCTGTTGATACTTCAGAAAAATATTTTTTAAATCCACGTATGTTAATATTTTTAAACAATCTACGTCAATTTAAAATTCGAATAAAAATATTTTTAAAAAATCTACGTCAGTTTATAATTCGAAAAAATATTTAAAAAAATCCATGTCAGTTTAAAATTCGAAAAAAATAGTTTTAAAAAAACCCACGTCAATTTAAAATTCGAAAAAAAAAATATTTTTAAAAAATCCTCGTCTGTGTGAAACCCGAAAAAATATTTTTTTAAAAAACCATGTCTAGTAAAAATTCAAAAAAAAATATTTTTAAAAAAAACCTCGTCTGTGTGAAACCCGAAAAAATATTTTTTTTAAAAAACCATGTCTAGTAAAAATTCAAAAAACATATATATTTTTAAAAAAATCCTCGTCTGTGTGAAACCCGAAAAAATATTTTTTTTAAAAATCCATGTCTAGTAAAAATTCAAAAAAATATTTTTTTTAAAAAACCCACCTCCAGCTAAAATTCGAAAAAATATTTTTTTATAAAACCACGCCAAGTTAAAATTCGAAAGAATATTTTTTATAAAACCACGTTCAGTTAAAATTCGAAAAAATATATATTAAAAAATCCACGTCTGTTGATACTTCAGAAAAATATTTTTTTAAATCCACGTATGATACTTCGGAAAAATATTTTTTTAAATCCACGTATGTTGATACTTTGAAAAAATACTTTTAAAAAATCTACGCCTGCTGATAGTTCGAGAAAATATTTTTTAAAAAATCCACGTCCATTGATAGTTCGAGAAAATATTTTTTAAAAATCCACGTCTATTGATAGTTCAAGAAAATATTTTTTAAAAATCCACGTCTGTTAATTACTTGAAAAAATATTTTTTCAAAAAAATCCACGTCTATAGATTATTTGAAAAAAATATTTTTTTAAAAAATCTACGTCTGTTGATTATTTAAAAAAATATTTATGTAAAAAATCCACGTCTGTCGATACTTCCAAAAAATATATATTTTCTTAAATCCACGTCCTTTGATATCTCTAATAATTATTTTTAAAAAATCCACGTCTGTCGATACTTCCAAAAAATATTTTTTAAAAAATCCACGTCTGTCGATACTTCCAAAAAATATTTTTTAAAAAATCCACGTCTGTCGATACTTCCAAAAAATATTTTTTAAAAAATCCACGTCTGTCGATACTTCCAAAAAATATTTTTAAAAAAATCCACGTCTGTCGATACTTCCAAAAAATATTTTTTAAAAAATCCACGTCTGTCGATACTTCCAAAAAATATTTTTTAAAAAATCCACGTCTGTCGATACTTCCAAAAAATATTTTTTAAAAAATCCACGTCTGTCGATACTTCCAAAAAATATTTTTTAGAAAATCCACGTCTGCCGGTACTTCCAAAAATATTTTTTTTTAAATCCGCGTCTATTGAAAATTTGAAAAAAATTTTATTTGAAAATCCACGTCTGTCGATACTTCCAAAAAATATTTTTTTTAGAAAATCCACGTCTGTAGATACTTCCAAAAAATATTTTTTTTAAAATATCCACGTCTGTTGATGTTTTGTAAAATATTTTTTTTTAAATCCACGTACGTTGATACTTTGAAAAAATATTTTTTTTAAAATATCCACGTCTGTTGATGTTTTGTAAAATATTTTTTTTAAAATCCACGTACGTTGATACTTTGAAAAAAATTTTTTTTTAAATCCACGTCTATTGAAACTTTGAAAAAATATTTTTAGGAAATCCACGTCTGTCGATACTTCCAAAAAATATTTTTAGGAAAACCACGTCTGTCAAAAAATATTTTTAGCAAATCCACGTCTGTCGATATTTCCAAAAAATATATTTTTTTAAAAAAATCCACGCCTATTGAAACGTTGAAAAAATATTTTTTAAAAATCCACGACTGTCAGAACTTCCAAAAAATGTTTTTTTAATCCACGTCTATTAAAACGTTGAAATAATATTTTTTAAATAAACCACAGACGTGGTTGAAAAATATTTTTTAAAAAATCCACATCTGTTAATACTTTGAAAAAATATTTTTTAAAAAATCCACGAGTGTTGAAACGTTTAAGAAATATTTTTTAAAAAATCCACGTCTGTTGATACTTCGAAAAAATATTTTTTAAAAAATCCACGTCTGTTGATACTTTGAAAAAATATTTTTTAAAAAATCCACGTTTGTTGATACTTCCAAAAAATATTTTTTAAAAAATCCACGTCTGTCGATACTTCCAAAAAATATTTTTTTAAAAAATCCACGTCTGTCGATACTTCCAAAAAATATTTTTTAAAAAATCCAAAAAATCCACGTCTGTCGATACTTCCAAAAAATATTTTTTAAAAAATCCACATCTGTTGATATTTGGAAAAAATATTTTTTTAAAAACCGACGTCTGTTGAAACTTTAAAAAAAATATTTTTTAAAAAAAATACAGGTCTGTCGATATTTCGAAAAAATATTTTTTAAAAAATCCACGTCTGCCGGTACTTCGGAAAAATATTTTTTAAAAAATCCACGTCTGTTGAAACTTTGAAAAAATATTTTTTAAAAACCCAAAGTCTGTCAATATTTCGAAAAAAAAAATTTTCAAAAATCCACGTCCGATGATACTTCGATATTTTTTTTTTTTAAATCCACGCCTGTTGATTATTTGAAAAAGTATTTTTTAAAAAATCCCCGTCTGTTGATTCTTTGAAAAAATATATTTTTTTTTAAATCCCCGTCTGTTGATCCTTCTCTATGGAATATTTGTTTCACAGGCATGCAACTACTTAATTTTGTTGTTGTTTTTTTGTTTTTGTAAATTGGAAGCTATATCTACTCGTTGGGTCTAGCCATCTTTTCGACTACAAAAAGAGACCTGGATCTGGCTACAACATGATTATTTTCACAGAATAAATTCTGGCACAAACTGAGCAGCACCAAACGGCGCGGCAAGGATTTCGACTGTTCCCACAGGCAGCGGCGATAGGTTCCTAGAAACGAAGAACATTAAATTCTGCCCAGAAAACGTTGAACTTCCCTTCGGCTGGAGGAACACTTCTCTTACTTAGCACACTATTGGTGGCCTCCTCATCCGAGTCCACAGGAGGTGTATATTTCTTCATGTGAAATTGACCGAAACCATAGCAATAGGCCACGATGACACTGAAGACGAATAGATGTTTCAGCATTCTTATTCTGTTCGATTCGACTTAGAATTCCGCCCGTTATAGAATTTAAAACAATGGCCTGGTTGGTATTCCGTGCTCTGTTGAGGCTAAGTGTTTATGAGGCCACTCACTAACTGGAGGTTTGACAATAAACATTATCATCAGTGGAATTCAAGTGGTTTTTGGGTGCCGATTCGCAGAGTGTCACATTGTGAGTGACACTCATCCACACAAATTGCAAATGTGACAATCTACACTCGAGGAAAAAAGAAGATTTCTTAAAAAAATATGGGAAGCGTATACCTGCTGATATTGATCATACGCACCGGTCTGCACTCTTAAAATATTTAATATTTCAGATTTCAATTCATCTGCGGTTCCATATCTTAAAAATCAATTCAAAAATAGAACAAATTCAATTTGAGATTTTTTAAATATTTTATCAGACAACAATATTCGTGGTCGGGCAATAATTTAAGTCATAACCTTGAAGAGTCTCAAACATAAATCATCATTATATCTACACGGAATTTTCACAAATTTCCCTGATTAGTTACATTTCTTGGAATTTCAAAGTGGTTCTACAATAGGGTGGAACTATACATTTTATAAAAAATAAATAAATTAAAATAATTTAAAAAAATAATAATTAAAAAATCCACGGCTGTTGCTACTTTGAAAAAAAAAAAATTTAAAAAATCCACGTTTGTTGATACTTTAAAAAAATAGTTTTTAAAAAATCCACGGCTGTTGCTACTTTGAAAAAATAATTTTTAAAAAATCCACGGCTGTTGCTACTTTGAAAAAAAAAAAATTTTAAAAAATCCACGTTTGTTGATACTTTAAAAAAATAGTTTTTAAAAAATCCACGGCTGTTGCTACTTTGAAAAAATAATTTTTAAAATATCCACGTCTGTTGCTACTTTGAAAAATAATTTTTAAAAAATCCACGTCTGTTGCTACTTTGAAAAAATAATTTTTAAAAAATCCACGTCTGTTGCTACTTTGAAAAATAATTTTTAAAAAATCCACGTCTGTTGCTACTTTGAAAAAATAATTTTTAAAAAATCCACGTCTGTTGATACTTCCCAAAAATAATTTTTAAAAAATCCACGTTTGTGGATACTATCAAAAAATAATTTTTAAAAAATCCACGTTTGTGGATACTATCAAAAAATAATTTTTAAAAAATCCACGTCTGTTGCTACTTTGAAAAAAAAATTTTTAAAAAATCCACGTCTGTTGCTACTTTGAAAAATAATTTTTAAAAAATCCACGTTTGTTAATACTCCATAAAAATAATTTTTAAAAAATCCACGTCTGTTGCTACTTTGAAAAAATAATTTTTAAAAAATCCACGGCTGTTGCTACTTTGAAAAAATAATTTTTAAAAATCCACGGCTGTTGCTACTTTGAAAAAATATTTTTTAAAAATCCACGTCGATTGCTACTTTAAAAAAATATTTTTTAAAAAATGCACGTCTGTTGCTACTTTGAAAAAATAATTTTTAAAAAATCCACGTCTGTTGCTACTTTGAAAAAATAATTTTTAAAAAATCCTCGTCTGTTGCTACTTTGAAAAAATAATTTTTAAAAAATCCACATCTGTTGCTACTTTGAAAAAATAATTTTTAAAAAATCCACGTCTGTTGCTACTTTGAAAAAATAATTTTTAAAAAATCCACGTCTGTTGCTACTTTGAAAAAATAATTTTTAAAAAATCCACGTCTGTTGCTACTTTGAAAAAATAATTTTTAAAAAATCCACGTCTGTTGCTACTTTGAAAAAATAATTTTTAAAAAATCCACGTCTGTTGCTACTTTGAAAAATAATTTTTAAAAAATCCACGTCTGTTGCTACTTTGAAAAAATTATTTTTAAAAAATCCACGTTTGTTGATTCTCCCCAAAAATAATTTTTAAAAAATCCACGTTTGTTGATTCTCCCCAAAAATAATTTTTAAAAAATCCACGTTTGTTGATTCTCCCCAAAAATAATTTTTAAAAAATCCACGTTTGTTGATTCTCCCCAAAAATAATTTTTAAAAAATCCACGTCTGTTGCTACTTTGAAAAAATAATTTTTAAAAAATTCACGTCTGTTGCTACTTTGAAAAAATAATTTTTAAAAAATCCACGTCTGTTGCTACTTTGAAAAAATAATTTTTAAAAAATCCTCGTCTGTTGCTACTTTGAAAAAATAATTTTTAAAAAATCCACCTCTGTTGCTACTTTGAAAAAATAATTTTTAAAAAATCCAGGTCTGTTGCTACTTTGAAAAAATAATTTTTAAAAAATCCACGTCTGTTGCTACTTTGAAAAAATAATTTTTAAAAAATCCACGTCTGTTGCTACTTTGAAAAAATAATTTTTAAAAAATCCACGTCTGTTGCTACTTTGAAAAAATAATTTTTAAAAAATCCACGTCTGTTGCTACTTTGAAAAAATTATTTTTAAAAAATCCACGTTTGTTGATTCTCCCCAAAAATAATTTTTAAAAAATCCACGTTTGTTGATTCTCCCCAAAAATAATTTTTAAAAAATCCACGTTTGTTGATACTCCCCAAAAATAATTTTTAAAAAATCCACGTTTGTTGATACTCCCCAAAAATAATTTTTAAAAAATCCACGTTTGTTGATACTCCCCAAAAATTATTTTTAAAAAATCCACGTTTGTTGCTACTAGCCAAAAATTATTTTTAAAAAATCCAGGTTTGTTGATACTCCCCAAAAACAATTTTTAAAAAATCCACGTTTGTTGATTCTTTCAAAAAATAATTTTTAAAAAATCCACGTTTGATAAAACTTTGAGAAAATAATTTTTGAAAAATTCTCAATGATGATATTTTGAATAAAAAAATCTTTGAAAAAAAAATGCTCTCACATTTAATTTTTGTTTTGCGCCTCACTTACAACCCATAGACGAATTGAGATGCTTTCTAATTCGCCTAAATCAAAGTCAAACCAAACAATAGAATAATTGTTTGATAAAAAAAACAAAAACACGATGTACACCCAAGCAAAAAGTTTAGTTGAAATAACCTATAATCATAATAATGCAATGGTTTCATTATTTAATGCCTTTTCGCCCTTCCACCAGATCTCCCTCCCCTATATGATTAGTTGCAGTTTCTATGTAAATAATAACCCCAAAGGCGGAATCCAATATTTCATTACATGGCGCATTTAGAGCATTGTAGTTGTGGAGCTGACCCAACTACTTTGCATAAATATTGAAATCGATTTTATGTTGATTAAAATCGGACCATGAATGAATTTGTACTCGGCCAAGGGCTATGTGGCTATGGCAGTTAATTGCTGTGCATGTATACACACACATAGTGTAGATTTGACATAAAAAATAGAATAACCCATTCCTTAAAAATATACGACGCAAATAGTGAGGGGGAAACTAAAGAATATCTCTTATGGGCGGAAAAAATATAAAGAGCGAAAACCTATAAAATCTTGAAGCAATGAATGATGGTAGTAAAATTTACCAAAAATCCCATATGGATATACAAGCTACTCTAGTTCAGGTCATAAATATGTCAAACAGTGTCATTACTGAGGGAAATTTTTTATACAAAGCACTCAATCATATTCTGGGGGTCGTAAAACCGAAAGTAATAAACTTATATGAATAATATCTATATCTTGAAATCAGAATATCCAATCTCATGATTGATGCCAATGATGATGATGTAACTCACCAACTACCCAAGATATGGACAATTTAACACAAACTCAAAAAATCTGATGTTTTCTAATTCTTCTTTGGTAATGCCATTCTGCGAGCAATAACATCGGATCTGAATGACTTGCAGACGTAAAATTACTTTTGATTAAATGAACGGAGTCCTAGCTATACTTGCTGTCAATTACGTTGGCGTATCTCACTTACTTCTCGAGATATGGCCCAGAGAAGAAAGGAACAAAAAAAAATTATAATATTTTTTAATTTTCCGCAATTACCTTTTGGGCGCCATAATTTCGGATATGAATGACTGACATTAATGAACCTCCTTGATTTTGAAAGTAGAGCAAGCGGTCTGAACATGGATGTAAAATACAGTGACTTCGCTCACGTAGTTCCCAAGATATAGCTAAGAAAATATAAGAGATATGACCCAGGGAACACAAGAACAAAAAAAGTTACAATATTCTTTGATTTTCCGCAGTTACCTTTTGGGGGCCATAATTTCCGACATGAACGACTGACATTAATGAACCTACTTGATTTTGAAAGTAGAGTAAGCGGTCTTGACACTGATGTAAAATCTAGCGATTTCGATCACTTAGTTCCCAAGATATAGCTAAGGAAATATAGGAACCAACATGGACAAGGAATTTGCATTTTTTTAAGTAATCACGTTTTAGTAGTCATTACTTCCGACCTGGTGGGCCAACGCCAAGTAAATTACCCGATATCGAAAGCAGATTAGCCCATCTTTACAAAAATGTAATCCAAGTATGTGTAGCTTATGTAATTCCCAAGATATGACCCACAGGATCTAAGAACAAAAATGTATTATGTATTCGAGATTTTTCAGTAATCACTTTCTGGAGAGCATAACTTCCGAAATGGAAGACCCATACCAACAAATCACTCGATATCGAAAGAAGATCAGCTTATCTTTACAAAAATGTAAGCCAAGTATGTGTAGCTCGAGTAATTCCGAAGATATGGTTCGGATAATATCAGAACCAAAATGAGTTAAGAATTCGAGATTCTTGAGGAATCTGTTTCGCGAGGACATAACTTCAGATCTGGAAAACCCATACTAATCAAATTACCCGACATCGAAAGAAGATCAGCCTTTCTTTACAAAAGTGTAGCTCCATTAGCGTAGCTCGTGTACTTCCAAAGATATGGCTGGGAGAATATGAGAATCAAAATGATTTAAGTGTTCAAAAATTTTGAGGAATCAGTTTCGCGAGGACATAAATTCGGACCTGGAAGACTCATACCAGGCAAATTACCCGACATCGAAAGAAGATCAGCCTATCTTTACAAATATGTAATTCTAGTAGTGCAGCTCGTATACTTTCGAAGTTATGGCTGGGAGAATATAAGAATCAAAATGAATTAAGTGCTCAAAATTTTTGAGGAATCAGTTTCGGAAGGCCATACCTTCGGACCAGTAAGATCCA